AATAAATATGACGTTTGCTAACAAATAAGGTTTTGCTTGTTTATTTTTCTATCCCATCAGTGCAATGCAATGATGACATTGACCAATTGACAATAGTTTTTTTTATTTAATAGAAATAATAATGGCAGGTTGAACCAACAAGAAGGTTTTAGTTTATCAATCATAATAATCTTCTTGACAAGATAAATCGTCAAACAACTTTGATCTGGATAATTTTGAACTTTACTGACGAACAGTTAAAGATTATTTTCTCTAACTCGAGATTATTCTGTAACATAGTTTCAAAAGGTAATATGTGCTCGCGATTCGTTGAAGGAATCAATTTGAAAACTGACGAACCTTTTCATTCCGTGACTGTACATGATTCGATTCTTATTAATTTCTTCAACACTTCAAAGGCTTGTGTATCTCATAACGTATTTAATATTTATGTTGGCGTGTACATCACGTCTTTAACAAGTTATAATTCAGTCATCTATGTTTCAAGGCATACTTACGTTATTACGTGGCATTATAAAGTCAAGAGGAATTTCGTAGTCAGGAAATTAGAGAGCGCCTTATTTTGCGATGGAGTTTATACTAATTTCCTTGTGTTATGAAATTTCGCGTCTTGGTTAGAGAAATCTGTTCTTGCGATGCTTTTTGCTTTAATTTAGAAGTTGGGTGACATACATTTTTACCAAAAGAGTCCTTGCCAATCTGGGAACATTACGATATATCTGTACTAGAATATACACAAAGTGATTCGCTATGTTTGTTTTAGAAATTGAATCTAGATTTTTAATTCGACCTTAGACAAATTACAATACGTGACAATATTATTATTTTTTTTGTACGCTTTGGAGCTCACGGGTCAAAAGTGGCCCGGTCCTTTATAAGGCTTGCGTGGGGATACAGATCCAACACGTAGAGGCCGTTTTAAGCGCAAAATAATCGACAAAAGTGAAAGTTATTTATTTATTTATTATTACATTATTTAGTAATTACGTCTTTGATTTAAATAGTGTCTTAAATCCTCTTGAGGTTTGTCTAGTCACTATTGTTCTCTATACAAATAAAAATAAACGTTTTATTATAATAATGTAATTTCGAAATCGCTTCACGAAGCGAAGGAACTGCATACTTATAAAAAACATCGAAAGCGATTTCAGAAACAACTGTCACATTTTGTAACTTATTGTCTGGAATAAATGCGAAAGTTTGGATGTATGGATGTCTGGATGTTTGTTACTCTTTCACGCAAAAACTACTGAACGGATTTTGATGAAACTTTACAGTGTTATTCTTTATAACCTAGAATAACATATCTAGCTATAATTTATGACGATTGACGATCTGTGACAAACTAAATTTCACGCGGGTGAAGCCGCGGGCAAAAGCTAGTTTAATAATAATGCTTTCACACTTATTCTCAAAGGGTTTTCAGTAACCCCCTGATTAATTAACTAACTCGTCCATTGATTCAACATACCCAACCAGCATCAGCCTGAAAGTTTTCAAAAACGCCATCTCACGATACGTTCCAGACCGACAGTAGTGTTGCCGAACTATCGATGATAAAACTATCGATAGTTTTCATCTGAAAAAGCCTTATCTATCAATTGGCCTATCGATAGCCTCAAAGGTAGATAGGCCTCAAAACGAGGCAATACTATTGAATATGTGCAATACTATCGATAGTATCGATAGTACTAGCAACAATACTATCGATACTATCAATAGTTTATTATTCACGAGCAACAATACCATCGATAGTATCGATAGCATTGTTGCTCGTGAATAGTATCGATAGTATTGCCTCGTTTTGAGCTATCGAGAGTATCGATAGTATCGACAGTATCGATACTATCGTAGATACTACTACGATACGATAGAACGATAGATACTAGATTACTAGCAACAATATTATCGATTGTATCGATACTATCGATAGGCCAATCGATAGTCTTGCGATAGTTTGGCTATCGATAGACTATCGATTAGTAATCGATAGTCGACTATCGATCGGCAACACTAACTGACAGTAATAAATCGTGCCAATATCCGGGACTAATTCAATAACTCCCATACATTTATCCCGGGCCGGGTAAACAACGTTTTGGGGCAAATCCATATTGATGGCTGGAGAAATGACTGCTCATTTCGGGTTTTCCAATCCTTTACGAGATCGTCGAGATGTCCTTATTACCGGGATGGCGTTGGAGAGATGTTTTAGTAGTTATATTTCAAATAGACAAAGTTGATGAAGACAGGCTTATTCTCGCCTAAAAACCACTTAACTTTTCTTAGTTTTTTATTTTATAGTAAAAATATTCGTATTCGTATAATAAATGATAAAAAGTAAAGTATTAGATAATGCAATCCATATATTAGTTAGTAACAATTTGATCTTAGAGACTATGTTAGTAGGGTTAGTAACATTTTTTTTAGATTAAAAAAAAACTCCCGTTAGCCCCTCGTACTAAGCTAAATGTGCTTGTATCACGAGTGAGCTCACCACAATTAGTCAAACGGCGCAGGGACCGAACCCGCGTTCCCCGGATTACGAGTCGGCCTGTCCACCGTTCGGCTATCGTGGCAGGGTTAGTAACAATGATCTTAGAAGCCTATATTAGTAGTACAGCTTAAATGGGTTTGATATACTGGTATAATGTATCTATTAATGTTTGTCTACCGTTATTACTTGTTCTCATAATCTTCGTTTTTGGCTAATTGATCTAGAAAAGTGTGAAATGTACTGTTAATATTTGCTATCGTTATAATTATTGTCAAAGTGGTGCAACTCAACCTTAGTAAAACAACTTGTACCAATAGGCCACTATTAATCACTTTCTGGAAAAAATCGATTGCCTGATGTGAGAGTCGAACTCACGACCTTTCGATTTGCCAGGTGAATGACTACTATCAACCTACTTTACCTAACATCGTTTACTTACCTACCCACCTGGTGTGACGTGGTGGACACGGATCTTCGCAAGCTTGGAAGGCGATGGTAACCGCACCGAAACAAAATGCTGACATCTCACCTATCGGAGGCCAAAACACTTTGGGTCACTGGTCTTTGGGTCACAAAATTTATTTGTTTGTATATGAACTATTTAAATAGTGGAGTAAGTAAGTACGTTTATCATCATTATTTCAGCCAATTGCAGTCCATTTCTGGAAGCGGTTAAGGCCTCCCCCGAAAATAACCACTTATAAAGAAAGAAAGCTCTTACTACACTGCACAACAGCATTTCTGATGATTGGGTTATGTTACATGATATTAGTCCAATTTTTAATGACGATTTCAAATCTGTGATTGAAATATCTGTATCAGCTCTGGTTAAAAAAATATGACACTTGGGTCTTTTTGTAAAAAAACACTCTTTTTTTAGAGGTGATCCTATTTTCTGAAGTTGTTAAGTTGAAAAAACTTTCTTTTATTTGACTTCCTTGCTGATGCTGAAGGCAGACAGCTCTTCTGAATGATTTAACAGCAGTCAGCCATCATGTGTGCATTCCAGTGGCCCTGATAGCGTCCATCTATCGTACGAAGGCCCTGGTGGATTTGCTCGCCATGTTCTTCACTTAGATCCTTAAGAGTTGTGATAAAATTGTTCAGGTGATTGCGAAGAGAGTGTAATTCGATGTTTATATTACATCCAACCAAAAAAACATGTTTTTAAGTGACTCATACGTTGTTCGATGTGTAAGAATATGTAGTAAGATTTTTTCGGATTTTCCAAAAAAAAAATTAAAATGCCAAAATAACTCATTCCATGTCTTTTCGGAAGACTTGAAGATCCTAAATCTCTAAAACGATCGTTTAAACCATCTTGGCTACATGGTTTTGAAAATATCGGGTCACATTCAAAGTCTCTACCACACTGACAGTTTTCGCCTCAAAATCCTCATGTGAAGTATCAACATGAGGTTCAGGTGACTTCTTAGGGTTGAAAAGACGTCTATATGCCAAACGTATGCAAGGAATTACTATTTAGTTCAATATTTTTTGGTTAATACCATTTTTGTTCAAAAATAAAAATAACAGTCGTCGCGATGGTTCAAGGGTTCCTTTCAGATCATAGCGGTTTCGTACCTAAATCTACACTATTCTTATTTGTTTGTAAAGGTAAAAACTCAACGCATCTTTTCCACGCCTTTTGCGGAATTCAAGGCTTATCTTTCATTTCCACTGGGTCCCCAAACTAATTTTTTTAAGCCAATTTTACGAACTTCGTCACATTTAAACGGATTATTTAAACATATCCTCTCCGCAAATGAAACAAAATTGATTTAGATAATTCACACAAACACTTCTTATTGCTACCATATTAAATTATACAAAGAAAACATAGTATTTTTTGAACTGTGGGCGAATTAAGACTGAAATTTAGCAATTTTTGAGTGAAAGCTATAACACGTAAACAAGAGCTGCTACGAAAAAATGGACGGCAGATTCAGAATCAGCGACGTCAATTTAGTAAACATCATGTAATGAAAGTCAATCATCAGCCAAAAGTTGCAATTTTGTTGTGCAGTGCTATTTTTACCACTAGCCACTACTTGAGGTTCTTGCCAGATTGTTCATTTCCAATTACTGTATTCTGGACCGGGTACCTATCATTAATTAGGTTTGCGTATCTAACTTTGGTGGCATGTAATAAGATTGTGATCCATCTACTTCTGTGTTAGTAGCAATATATCATAGCAATACTTGCTACCTTCCATCTTATTGTTATTAACTTAGGAAAGAGTCAACAGGCATTTACTGATTAGCTGGGCAGATAAGTTTTACCCTACACTGCATTAAATTACATTTTATATCAGACTGTTGAGTTCTCTACTTTTTTTTGGCATTTCTTTAAAGCCACTCGGGTAATGAAACAAGAAAATATTACAGATTTTCATTTATTTCAGTGATTACTGATTACATAATTATAATAACATACGATACCTTAACCTATGTTGATTCTAAAAAAATCATTTCCAATATCACCCTTAGCTATTTATTAAATTTCAGATTAATCCATTAAAAATTACTGTTTTAAGTTAATTCTTATCTTATAGTAAAATATGAGGGTGGAGTAAAACGTGGTGTTGTCTAAACGCTAGGTTTTATACGTTAAAACAGTTTTACCCCCGCTCGATACACTTCAAGACAATACATTCGTGTCAAGGAAATACACAATCTTTGGTTTCACACAACTTAACATAAAAACGCAATAACTTAAACGAAAAACTTAACATAATAAAGGATTGCCCCGGAAATCGCCGAAAACTTTCAAATTGAAAAGTTTTCAAGGAAGAACTTTGCCACCGAACCTCGACCGAGGTCCCTAATTATCATCTACTTCATTTTAAATAAACAATTACTCCATTTTATTTATTATCATCTAAGGTTAATTCTCTGAATTGCAATTTTATCATATAGATTAACAAACAACTTTGATTCTTGTTTCTTATTTTTAAGTAACGCTACGAATTAATCGCTATGTTTCCTAATTTATAACTATTTATCACTAAAAAGGATAGGTTTAATGTGGAACTGAATTGTGGTGGAGATATGGAAACAGATAGAGCGGAGAGAAGAGGAAGATGGTAATGGCATGTGAGAAGATGTAACGTAGAAAAGTACGTATAAGGAATTGACATAAGTTCCCTATGTTAAGAGCGATGCAAACGATACTATAGCGCAAGCTCCAACTCGTATGAAAATGGTCTGCATGATTTATTGTCGGTAATAGCATGTCGTCCATATAGATAGAAGACTGGCGACGCTTACGACCGTGGAGAATTCTCTAAACAAAGGGGAAGTATATTCACAGCCAGAATGATTTTCCATACTTCAAGTCTAGATATGGTAAGGGGAAGGTATTTTTTTTAGTTTTAGAAATGTTTAAGTTTAAAGTTAGATTTTATTTTAATCTATAATTATCTACAGTGCGTAAGTTTATTTTTTTACTATTTTATTCAAAATTAGGATTAAAGGCAATCCTTTTAATGGAATGTTAGATTAATAGCGCTACTCAGGCTCAGACTCCCAAACTTTACAGCGACGACGTGAATCCGTTGAAATTTTAATACTCCAACAGAGAATTCGCATCAACGCAGAAAAGTTTCAGCTTCCAATCCAAGAATTCTTAGATATAATTTAGAAGAAGTTTATTTGGAAACTACGATAGTTTGCTTTAATAAGTAAACTTTGAATGACTTAGGTAAAATTTTCAATTTAATTTTGAATTATACTAAGCTAATCAAGTGCTAGATTTAAACTTGATAGTTGATTTTATTTACTTATAATGTTTAATGCCGGGTGAGGGGATAATGAAACCATAGAAGACGTGGTTGAGGGCGGTAATGCGGAAACAATAGACAGAGAAGGGATGAGGCAGAGGAGTATAAATATGATAAAACTGGAATATAGAAGATCGCTAAGAGATATTTTATAGAAGCATTACTAGATAATGGCACTGCGGAATGTACCTGTGTTCATAAAAAAGTATCCTAAACCTCCTTAACAATTACTTTGGTTTCGAACAAGATTATGTTATTTCACAATTTTATCGTTCAATTTACCTTAAATTTACTTTCTTCGACTACTTTAACACCACCGACCTTATCGTCCCTCATTCCTTTTATTGCCAATAATATCCGAACCTCATCATTCCGTGACTCAGCAAATAGATGTTAAGTTGTGATTGCGATTTAACCCTATAGTTTAATTATAATATCGTCAAACGCGTAGATCCTTGAGCTCTAAGAATCTTCACATTCAATGTACAATTTTAAACTAATTTCAAATGGCAAAACTCTCCCCTGTGCCAAGAAAACAAAAGCTACAATTTTATTATTGCGCCGGACCAACTGAATCAGCAGAATCATATTGAGCAGGTTTCGGTTGGTCCAGGACAGAATCCAAATCAACTCCATACAAAAATGAAAAAGGAAGTTGCTTTGTTTTGTATGGAACTGCTTGGGTTCTCTTGTTACATTTTGTAACTTTATTTCAATCCAAAAATCTAAATGTACCCAATTTCCGGCAATTCTCAAGACAATATCAAAACAAATGTTAAAATATAAATGTTTAAATCTGATTTTAACATACGTTGTTCAAATTATAATACTTTACATTGTTTCATTACAATTTTTAATTCCAATATTTACTTTCCGGTTACAACTACCGATAGATTCGTGTCCGAACATTTTATTACTAGAAATACAAAATTTAACGTATTTACAATCATTTTTAACGTTTCAACAAAACATTCATAAGTACATCCTTGCGTCTCGCACAGTCAAAATGTACATTCTTTACAACGTCACTGAACAAAAGGACTAGATTTGTTTGGGAACAAAAAAACTAAATAACGTAATCAACTAAAGCGACTTAAGTTTTGGCTTCGCTACCGTTACCATGATGTCAGATGGAATATGTTGAACTACATTTCTATGTTCTTTATATTGTCTGGCAGTTTCGTTTCTTTATAGCTTGTCCAAAACTTGTATATCTTGCAAACTTTGTCTGTCTTGAGCAACACCAATTTTGTGGATGATATTATAGACCAGACATGCCGTTCTTTCCCGTTATCGCCTGAAGAAATCATTTTAGAATTTGGTGATATTTTTTTACATACTTTTAATAAGATTACATGATGACGCATTTCCCTTTTTCGGCCCAAGGGTTGTTTTTCTTGTCGGGGGCGTGTATGAGTGGATCGTTTTTCTCGTTTTCTTCCACATACTCCCGCATCCTGTAACAAAGAATGAGATCATTAGTGAGGGAAAAACTCGTTGGAGTATTCACTTCGCTCGCGGTAATGTGCGCACGTGAAGTGGTCGCGGACTAAACGTTGGAAATAATTTTATCACGTTTTTTTTACGCCAAGATTTTTATTACGATTATTGGTGCTTTTTTATTGGAAACCCTGATATGGTATAAGTTAGGGTTTGTGGTCAGCGGCAATTTTATAATTTGGTTTTGATAAGAAAGTCTCAATAGATAACCAGTAAATATGAACTGTAAATACAGTAGATTCAAAACCTTTTACGTTGAGGCTAATTAATTATAATTCATGGTAAGCTAAACTATGAATAACAGTCCTTAATCATAATAAACGATGGTATTGTGTAAACTATGATAAGTCACGTTTGCCCTCATTCCTGAAAAGGAAAACAGTTTGTATGTCCAAATATATTACGAACCATTTTCCTTTATGTTCACGTTGCTTATAAAATCTTCATTGTTGAACAAACATTATGTTTGGTTCTGGAATGGAGGCCGCGTACCGGAAAACGCAACGTGGGACGTCCACCTACAAGGTGGACCGACGACATCATAAAGGTAGCAGGGAAGCGCTGGATGCAGGCCGCTACCAATCGATCAACGTGGAAAGCATTAGGGGAGGCCTATGTTCAGCAGTGGACGTCCTATGGCTGAAATGATGATGATGATGATGATGATGATGATGATGTCCTACATGATGTCTCCACTTATAGCTGAGATTGTTTAACAGTTAAAATAAATGAACAGCTACCCCAAATTCTCTTAAAAATTCAATTAAACATCCCAACTTAAGAAATGGATAAATTAATATGAAAAGTTAGTTAAATTACAATCAATGGGCCAAGTTTCTTGGCACCTGTTAATATATTATTGTTCTTGAGTAATATTCAAAGTTTTGCGCGAAGGAACGACGTTTTATTTGAGTTTGCCTGAAAATTGTATTTTATTAGGCAATTCACATGCCTTTGTGGGGGATTCAATTTATACTTTATCCGGGCTGTACAAAGTTTCTTATACTTCCAGATGGTTAAGGTTTAAAATGTATAGTTACAGTTAAGACTATATTTAATCAAGTCTGTGAATTCCGCTCTTTCAAAGAAAACTTTATATCATCTCCCCTTTCATCCCCCTTTCAAAAACAGGGGTAAAACTATCTCATGTTCTTCCTGGGTCTATGTTTACTAAGTTTATACCAAGTTTCATTTAAATCTCTTTAGCAGTTTAAACGTAAAAATGTAACAGACAAAGATACTTTTTATATTATTATACCCAAGCTTTTGCCCGCGTGCAATTTTATCTGTCACAGAAAAGCTTTATCGCGCGCATCCCTGTTTTAAAACCCGGGATAAAAACCATCCTATGTCCTTTCCCGGGACTTAATTTTATCTCCGTACGAAGTTTAATCAAAATTGGTTCATTGGTTTAGGAGTGAAAGTGGAACACAGGCAGATTACTTTTGCATTTATAATATTACAACTACTACTTGAAGAATATTATAATGATAATGTTGTTTGTCTTTAATTATGTTCTTAATCAAAATGTGTCCTTGCCATAACATAAAACTAGCAGATTTGTCGTAAAACCAAAGCAATAAAAATATAAAGGTTCTTTTACAACCACTTAGCGTCGCGGACCGGGTAATATGTTTGTTATATTATCTGTTATGGCGAAGGTTGGACCGGTATCTGGACAACCTCATTCATATGGCAAAATACTATGTAAAATAATAGTTATACATAGATTAAGCGCTCTTTAGTGTAGTTATTTCCACTAATCACAAGAAACTTGACCTTCGCTGGTTTGGTTTTTTATTGGCGATCGAGCTGTAGATCCTGCAAAGCAGCGCGGTGGGAACGAGAGGTGGGAATAAGTAGTCTCGTTTATCATTAAAAGATCAATGTTGAAATAATAAAATTTAGGTGATCTTACAGTTTGGAAACCGAAGAGAGAGCAGATAGTATGAACCCAAACATAAAAGAAGTCTGAACAAAAGTATTCAAATACATACATTGTAACATAGCGATAATGATCAAAGGTTAAAAGATAAAGTAAGGTTATTAGGAAAAGATAGATATAGAAATGTAAAAAAATCCAACCGAATTGAAAACCTCATCCTTTTGTTGAAGTCAGTTATGTATTCTTTACTATCCGTTCTGATGTCACCAATAACAAATTTTTGCCTTCATTAATTACTCTAATTTCAGAAGCCGCAAGTCGGTTACTTTTTGAGGACAATCGTGTTTCGTTTTCATGATTGTTAAAATATTTTTTGCAACGATCTATTCATCTATTTACCTATGTGGATTGTACAACTTTTTGCATGATAACAGCTATTTGACCCTGTTCAATGATAGGTAAAACCCCTAAAAAGGTTTCTGGCGACGTCGCCAGTTAGATAAGAAGGAAAATACTTTATGCGAGACGGTTACGACTGCATAAATGAATAGCAATATACAATTACCGGGCATAATGAAAATAATGTCAAAAGAGAGCTAGTAAATTATGCTTATATCGTATGGAAAGTGGTTATTTTTCTTTGAGGATGTTTTACGGTGTTTTGACTTTTATGTCTAACGAAATATCATTAGAAGTGCTTACTTTATTTATTTTAAGACCAGGATATTGTTAAAACAATCGTGTCATGAAGAGTTTGTATGCGGAAATACTGTAAGTAAATCACCATAAACATCTTTAAATCATTTGAAATATTGCTTTGTTTATTAAAACTAATCAATAAAATTATTGTGTTTCAAGGTTTGATAGCTGTAAAGATAAAAAGAAAACTTCGCGCTTAAAAGATTGTTAGTTAAATGACAGTTAGTTTCATCGAAAATGATTCATGGATGCTCACATTAAGCTGGTGCCCGCTTTATCCTTCCTCTAGTGCCTTAAAAAGTACCAGTAATCAATTATTTAAGGCCATTTAAAAGTTAATTCTTGACTGGCAAGCGCCATTACCTATGAAGTTTAAAGCTTTTCAAAAGCGAAAAGCTCATCGGTTCTTTATTGCTGTCCACTAAAAATGCTTTTGTCCCAAACTAGATTTAAGATCAAAGCGGAGAAAAAGGACCAAAAATATGCTAAAAGTGCAACCTATTCCAACGAGCTGAGGCTCTATTGTATAAAACAGTCACGGTAAAGGGAAATCAGCATAAAATACACAAATTTTATGTGTGAAAAACAATATTTTTGGACCCGGGTCGCATAATATCTTCCGGGCAAGGTGTCCGGGCAGTTTGTTGAATATTTTATCGGAAGCTATTCCTTTAGCAAAACGCCTTGTTGTCAATCGTTGACAAAAGATATAGTTCGTAAGTTTATGTTTCTTCGTTCAAGGAATAATAATGTAAGTTTGTTCGTTCGTTTCAGCCAAATGACGTCCTCTGCTGGACAAAGGCCTCCCCCAAGGTTTTCCACAAAGAACGGTCCTGCTCTGCCCGCATACAGGCTCTTCCCGCGACCTTTACCAGATCGTCGGTCCACCTAGTTGGAGGCCTGCCCACACTACGTCTTCCAGCCTGTGGTCGCCACTTGAGAACTTTAGGAGTAGGTATTGCAGGTCTAAAGCTCGCTCTTAATTTCCCAAGAATCTTATTAAATTTTAGTAATTTAAAAAAATAGTTGTATGCTATAGACAAACCTATAAAGTCAGGTTTACATAGCATGTTGTTACCTCAAACAGAGAACAATTAAGCAATATTGCAAGCTACATTCACTACGCACTATATTCTCGACCTTCACGAATTACGAATTCAATATCTTAAGCTTCCAGTCAACAAGTATCAAAAGCGTATAACCAAAGGTTTCTTCAATATCAGTAACAGGGCAGCCAACCGACAGAAATAAATTCAATAGGCCTCAGTCCTCATAAGAGGCATCAATAATTCAGAGGCTGTAAAAAATAAATCTCAGAAAAGACAGCTCTGTTATAAGAGTTTTCTCTTCTGAAGGATTTTTACTGTATAGATAGAAGATGAAATAAGCGGTAATGAAATTTGTGGACTTTTAATGATGTAGCTACATTAAATAATGATTAATCTCAGTCTCAATATGGGTTTTTGAACGACGAAACGGGTTAATGATTGTTCAATACAGCGTAGATAGGCAAATTATTCAATATTGCATCACTACAAATTACAAAGCAAAGTCGCTTATCGCTGTCTGTCCCTATGTATGCTTAGATCTTTTAAACTACACAACGGATTTTGATGCGGTTTTTTTTAATAGATAGAGAGATTCAAGAGGAAGGTTTATAGGTATACTTAGCACCCGTGCAAAGCCGGGGCTAGTCGCTAGTTTAATATAAAACTTGACAGTAACAAGAATTACAAAAGTTAATACGGCATCGTATAGTCATAGTAATCCAGTGCTCTACTAAATATTAAAAGTAGGTTCTCTTTGTTTCCAAATGTTGATGGATTAAGCAATTAGTGAGCAGAAAGGTATATTCGATTATATGTAATGACCGTTTTACCCTTGGCAAAGTTTGGTACTGAAGTAGCTGATGAAGTAGATTATTTTGAGAAGGGTCTGCTGACTTATTATCTGATCTAGATCATCGTTAAAATGTGTGTAATATCATCGGACAGTATTTGTAGATTAATCGTTTGTTTAATATAGTTTCGACTATCAAACGTAATTAAGCAGAATTTGAACGGACTAGTAAATCGAGCTAAGTAAATGCTACTGTGATATCTTATACATATGAGTTATTTTGCAATAAATACCTACTATACTATGGTGAGTCGATAATGGTTAAATAACCATTAAATAATAATATAAAACCTGTTAGCTAAATAATGTTAATACATTAATTTTATTAGACGGTGAGTTTAGTTCAAAATTTAATTTATGCGAACAAAATGTAAAGAACAAAAAAGTTCTCATCCAATTTGACTACATAATCTTAGCGGTAAAAATAGCTAATACTTCAGAGGGAATATTATACATAAATTGTTCGAAAACAAC